GCATTTGATATCTCTTCCAGTTAAAATGACATGGTATATTTCTCCATTTAATGTGATTTTCTTTATTATTCTGAGCAATATTTTCTAGTTTTAGTTTAGACCTTATTCATATTTCTTTATAATTATTATGGTATTTGATGATATTTTCTATGCTAATGTAATTAATTTTTAATTTTTATTTTTCTACTTTGTTCCTATGATATATAAGTATACTTTTTGGAGTATCTATGGCACTAATTAACTTACTAATTTTAATAGTGTAATTATGTACCTTTACCTTGAAATTTTAAAAATTATTATCTATAATAGAATAAAAACACATGGAATAGAGTTAAATTATCAAAAGTTGTGTAAGACTAGTCACTGCAAACTGGCAAGCATTACTGGGGGGAAATCAAACATCTATATAAATGGAGAGACATATGATGTCATGTGTTAAAAGAGTGCATATTTGTAGCAATGTTAAAATATCAATTTTCCCCAAACTGATCTGTAGATTCAGTAAAATACCAAACTCTCAATAGGAATATTTATAGTAATTGATCACCTTATTTAAAAATTCATATAGAGAGGCTCCTGGGTGGCTCAGTCAGTTAAGGGTCTGCCTTTGGCTCAGGTCATGTTCCCAGGATCCTGGGATTGAGCCCCACATAGGGCTGCTTCTCCCTCTCGCTCTCCCTCTGTGCTTTCCCTCTCTCTCAGTCTCTCAAGTAAATAAATAATTAAATAAAATCTTTTAAAAAATAAAAATTGATACAGAAATGCCAAGGACCTAGATTAGCTAAGAAGACTCTGAAAAAGAAGAAAGTTGGAGGATTAACATTATCTAATTTTAAGAATTTTGAAGATATAGTAATCATGACAACATGGTATTGGTGTCAAGCTAGATCAATAGAATGTAGAACCTAGAAATAGATCACACATATATGGACAACTGATTTTTAATAAAGATGCAGATGAAATTAAGTGGGAAAAGGACCTTCTTTTCAATAATTGTGCTGGAACAATTGCATATATATATGTATATATATATGTAAAAGTCAATTTTGATCCAAACATTATATCATATACAAAAATCAACTGAAAATAGATTTAAAAAAATCTAACTGTAGAACCCCACACCGTTAAACTTTTTAAAAAATTAAGAGAAAATTTTTGTGACTTTGGGTTAGGCAAAGATTTCTCAGATACAGTATCCGTATTTTAAAATAATCCATTATTTAAAAAAAATGATGACTTGAACTTCATCAAACCTAAAAACTTCTACTATTCAAAAGACACCGTTAAGAGAATGAAAAGACCAGTTACACACTGGGAGAAATATTTACAAATTATATCAGATAAAGTAGCTGTATCTAGAATATAAAAACAACTCTCTAAAGTAAAAAATAAGAAAACAGACACCTCATTAAAAATAGACAAAAAGATTCAAACAGACACTTCACCAAAGAGGGTATAGAAATGTCAAATAAGCATAACATCTTTAGACCATAACCAGTGATGGCTAGGATGTGGAGAAAATGGAACTGTGCAGATGATCGGAGCATAAAATATTACAATCACTTGGGAAAACAGTTTGGCAGTTTCTTAAAAAGCTAGAGATAACCTGTCATATCATCCAGCCACTCCACTCCTAGGTACTTATCTAGGAGAAATCAGTTTATGTCCACACAAAGAATTGTACATGGATAATCATAGTAGTCCTATTTATAGTAGCCAAAATTGAAAATGACCCAAATAGCTATCAATAGGTAAATGGAAAAACAAATTTTGGTATATCCATCCATACAATGGAATTCCCCTCTGTAATAAAAAGGAATGAACTATTGATTCAAGCACCTATACATACTGATGAATCTCAGAATTATTATGCTGAATGAATGAAGACCTATAAAAAAGAATACGTATTATATGATTTCCTCTGTGTAAAATTTTAGAAAATACAAACTAATCTACAGTGACCGAGAGATCAGTTGCTGCATGGGACAAGGGCGAAGAGGTGTGTGTGTGGGGGGGGGGGCGGTGGTGGCAGGAGAGAGATTATAAAGGTACATGAAGAAACTTTTGGGAATATGGACATGTTCATTATCTTGTTTGGGTTAATGGGTTCACTGGTAAATACATATGTCAAAATGTATCAAATTGTATACTTTAGATATGTATAGTTTATTGTTTATTAAGGATTCCTCAATAAAGGTATTAAAAACTTTTCAGTAATCTATTTATGCTATTTTCATTTTTAACTTTTTTTACCATTATGTAAAAATAATTATTTGTATAGTTGTTCGTGATATTTGTTAAATATACCCAGAGACTATATCATTTTTTAAAAATTATTTTGAGTACAGTTGACACATAATGTTATATTAGTTTCAGGTGTCCAACACAGTGATTCAACTGCTTTATACATTATGCTGTGCTCCCAACAAGTGTAGCTACCATATGTCAACATACAGTACTATTACAATATCACTGACCATATTCCCTATGCTGTGCCATTTATTCTTGTGACCTTTTTGTTCCATAACTTGAAGCCTGATGTCCCACTCCCCTTCACCCATTTGCCCATCTCTCCTCCCCACCCTGGCAACTATCAGTTTGTTCTCCCTATTTACAGGTCTGATTCTGCTTTTCATTTGTTTGTTTATTCATCTGTTTTTTAGATTCCATTTATGAATGAAATCATGTGGTATTTGTCTTTCTCGAGGCTCTGTTTTTTTTTTTAATTCATTAGTTCATTCAGCAAACATTCAAAGTGCTGGAGAAACAAAGATAAAGTTATCCAATTAGTTGGGTAGAGAACTAGTATTTATTGAGTATTGAAGGAGTCCAGAGCCTTTCATTCCAAAATATGCCACTTTGATTGTTTTGAGCTGAAGGAACCTCAGAAATAGCAAACCTATCCTTTTCTATATAAAACAGGCCATCAAATTTCCCATGAGAAAGTTACCCTCCCTATACCAGCACAAGAAAGCATCCTTATCATCAGAGACTGGGAATTGATGCTGAAATGGATCTGTACACATTTACTGAAATAACCCTTATCTTCCACTTGTTTTGCACCCCTTTGCTCCAACCATACATTTCCTAGTTACTTCCCCATAATTTACTACCTGTAGCCCATATCCCTTTGTCTTAACAATTCTTGACAAGTTGATTGTTTCTTTGTTTAAAAGGTATAAAAACTTCCTGCTCTGGTCACTTCTTTGGATCTTCATTCTCTTGTGAAGGCTCCCATGTATGTGTAAAAATTTAAACTTGTATGCTTTTCTCCTGTTAATCTCTCTTCTGCCAGCTTAACTCTTAGAGTCAGAGACCCAAAGAAGGTAGAGATTTTTTCTTCTCTTACAGAACTTATTATGTAGCAGCTGTTTTTACATCCATCACTTCATTTATTTTTCACAAACAGAAGGCGTATCTTTTTATACCCATTTTACAGATGAATAAATTGAGCCCAAAAAAGTTAACAGAAAGTGGCAGAACTGGCACTGAAATCCAGGTTTATGTGACTCCAAAGTTATGGTACTTTCCATCAAACCACAATACAAAAAGCACAACTAAAGAGTTCTGGGGGCAGAGAATAAAATCCCTAACACTTTCTGAGGAAGTCAGTGAAGGTTTTACTACTCAAGAAGCTCTATTACTTGAGATGCAGTCAAGGCTCTAAAAAGTGTTTAGGATGTTAAAAGAGTGCATTATTGATGAACCAGAGGCAAATTATGTACTATTCCTCAGGCAGAAGTAATATTTTCTTCTTCATTGCTTTGTAGTACTGTTTATGTGGTCAGTTTATCATTCATCCACTTCATACCTCAGTGAGTTATACTGAAGCTCATAATTGACAATTATACCAGGCTAGAAGCTGCTATTTGTGTTTTAATAATGCCTAATATTTTAAAGCATCTGAGATCTGTGTGAAATCATCTTAAAAGGATATTTACTATTCACAACTCTGTGAGTTAGATACTATTACTATCTCCATTTTACAAAGAAACAGCCTGCAACCTAAAAATTATCTAAAAGTGTAAAGTAAAATCCTTAGGCCTTATAAAATTAGCAACTATTTTTGTGTATATTTTTGTCTTGGAGCTACATTAAACATCAGTGATAGTTAAGAACAAACACTTGGTAGTCAGACACGGTCAAATGCATGTATAAATTATATTTCAAGCCACTTACAAATATGAACTGCATTTGCATCATTATCCTTTTATTATGTATAATAAAGTTGAGTAAGTTTTCATTTCTAGAATTTGATGTAAAGTATCACCATTTTGAAAACACAGACGAAAACAGAAATGTAATTTGTTCAGTATGATAATGATGTTGGTCTTTTACATGGCATCATTCACTTTGTGTTTTTGTTTCCGCTTTGTGTCCCCAAAAATGAGGGTACCTAAGGCCAGTGCTATGTCTAAAAAGCTGTATTTAATACCCGTAGCATGTTACACATGATTATGTGTTCAACGAATGCTCAAAGAATTCTTTATGATGCTGGTAAGTGTCTGCATCGCTAAGGACAGACAGCAGTTTACTAGATGTTAACGCAGGATGGAGCATATGTGTGACACCATAAATTACATACACGAAGGCGTGGTGACCTATTGTAGCCAGGTTCTCAGTTAAACCATATATACCCATTTAAACAGAGCCCTTTCACCACCCCCTCTAAATCTTGTACTAAATCTAAAACCAAACTTGTACAAGTTTGTGAGTGCCTATTACGTGCCTATCTAGGCCTCAAAGACGAAAGTTACATAAGTTTCCTGCTTCTCTTGAGCACATAGTCAGCTTCATTATCTCAAACCAGATTTGGGAAATAACCTGGAACGCCGAGGTAGGTCAAGGACTCAGGCTCCGAGTTTTTGGTACAAACCTACAAACTAGGCACTGGGATCCCGCCCCTTTGAGCCCTCTGTCACTCAACATGTCTGTGGGCGGGGCTATGCTAAAAGTCAGCTTCCGTGCGCGTGTCTGCGCAGGCGCCCCAGGGAGGCGGGTGACCCTGAGAGGTTGCCGTCTTTCAATGCGCAGATGAGACGTCGCGCGTGCGCAGGCGCTCAGCGAAGAGGCCTGCCGGAAGTCAAGATGGCGCGTGTGTGTTGTCCAGGCCGCAGTTAGCGCTTTATCAGTATCTAAACCGTGTGTTTTGTAAGGGGCTGTGGCGAACGCCCTCTCCGTCGCCATGGCCCGGCATCGGAATGTCCGAGGCTATAACTACGATGAAGGTAGGTGGCAGGGTCATGCCGGGACGTCATTTTCGCGGTTCCAGCTGGGATCGCAGCCCGTTGGCTTCCACTTTGATCTGTGAGTTTCTCGTTAGTGGTGCCAGGCTGGAATTCACAGTAGCCTCAGTTGGAGAAAATAACAATACATGTGAGTGCCAGCGAATGGCATTGTTTTAAGTCGTGATTTCTGCCCTCTGGGATTAATTTTATTTAGGGAGGGGGAGGTTGCTGCACGCCGTCGTATGGGAAGGACATTTGGGAAGGTTGGGATATGGTGATATTTGTGCACGCAAGCATTATCATCTCTCCCTCCCATTGTCTCCTCCCAGGTCGGTTAGACAGTTGTCTACTTCTAGGTAGTGTCTTCCGACCCCCCTTCCAAAAATGCCCATGAAACTGTGCTTATTTGTAAAAGACAGATTGACTTCATGCTTACATTCAACTGTTCTGCTGTAACTTAGATATACGTGGTAAATTATTTGTGTTTGTTTATACATACTTAGTACAGAACCTGGCTTGAGCAGATAACTTATTTTCTATGAGTTTCAATTTAAATTGGAAACTTAGGAGATGATAAAAAAAGAGATATCAAAAAGGCCCAGTGAATAAGTGGATCAGATGATCTTGAGGTGTATACCCAGTTCTTGGTTGATAATGCTGAATTTAAATGTATTTTGGAATGGGAGGGGAGAAAAAAAAGCAATACTAGAAACAAGGGGGCTCCGGAACATACTTCTTGATTTAAAAAAAAAATGAAATAAAAAATGTGCCTATGTTCTCTAGGAGTTTAAAAGGAGTTAGAATTAGTTTAGGGTAGGCGCCTATCTCTATGCAGTGGATAATTATAGGCATCACCAAGCATCATGCCAACTAAAATAATAAATATGAAGGAGTGCAAAAAAAGTAAAGACCTATTACTTTTTAAAGTGCAGATCATGTAAGTGTGCTTAATATGTTGGTGGCTGTTATTGGCACTGCTGGACGATTATTCTAGAACATCAGTATTGCCCTAACCACAGTGTAGCTAACACCCTGTGCTACATTTGGAGACTGTCACCTAGTCAGCCTGTCACATGTTAGGTTCCTGGTGTTCACTTTAGATTGGAGGCCGTTTTAAGTGTTGCAGTGGATGTAATCACTGCTACCTGAGAGATGACTTTAGCCTGAGAGATATTTTTGAGGTTATGATATAAAAAATATGAACAGACAACTTACTCATTTCTTAAATAAGTATTTATAATTTCTTCAACCAACATTAATTGAGTGCTTATTCTTCATTAATTGAGTGCTTAGAGTACTGCTCTAAGCCTTGGGGACTAATAATAAGATGCTTGAGGGAATCTGAAGGGGGAAATATACAAGTAACAGATGATTTGAGTATAACATGCCACAAAAAGTACTCCCAAGGTGCTGTGGGAGCTATGTAAGTGAGATCACCTTATTCAGGGTGGGTTAGAGGAGTTTAAGCAGGATTTCTATGTGAAGGAAAGTCTTCCTGGAGGAGAGATGTTTGGCCTGTGGGAGTGAGTGCTAAATATTATCTCACCTGAGCAACCCCAGTTCAGGTTGTCCTTTTTCATGTTTCTTTGGAACAATTGATGACATCATAAACAATCTGTTCCTATAGCATAGGAGGTTCATCCCCATTTCCTGCTTATAAAAGTTTTACTCATTTTAGGGATTCAGTTTATTTCTCTTTTTTTCTCAAAGTTTCCTCTTTGTATTATTTTCAAATAATACTTTGAAAATTCTCGAAAGTAGTATGACATTATTAGAGAGAGTATGTGCTTTAAACCTATTGGTTCCTCTATTTAACTTTCACTTTGTTCTCTGTAATCTGGATAGTACTTAAATGACGGCCTTTAGCTAATGCTAAGTTAGCTACTAATTTAAAAGTGCCAGGAGGGCATAATCCATACCTTATTGTTATATTTACTCTGTTGTTACATTTACTCCAGTAGGTGAAACAATGCTTTATGTGCAGTAAATATTACAGAATTTTGTTGAGGAAAAGAACCACTTTACAAAAATACCAGGGAAGAATTCTCTTCATCTTTTTATATTGTGGCACTGTTAGGGTCAATTTCAGTTGAAAAACTGACCTAGTAAAAAAGTTTGTCATTCATATCTAAAAATAATATTTTGTAAATGGATCATTTATTTGCTAATAGATTGTTTACTTGGGATTGTGATCTAATAATTTATTGATTGTTACATATTTTTAAAAAGATTTTATTATTTGACAGAGAGAGAGTGTGCATGAGCAGGGGGAACAGCAGAGAGGGAGGGAGAAGCAGGCTCTCTGCTGAGCAGGGAGCCCAATGTGGGGCTTAGTCACAGGACCCTGGGATCATGACCTGTGCTGAAGGCAGACACTTAACCGACTGAGCTACCCAGGCGCCCCAGACTGTTAACATATTTTTATCCAATAGTAGCATTTATCTAATTTTTCTTTGCTGTAAATATTTGGTTTAAACCCTTGAAACATGCTGCTCCTGCTATATGAATACCCTCAGAAACTAGCTAACTATCCTTTGGAATTTGTTTAAATATTATATTCCGGGGGATCTTTCCCTAGCCACCCCACTCCCAGTTCTGTTTTTGTTGTTCATATGTGTGATCCCCATTCACGCTATATTTCTCATGTCTCAAAATATTTGTCATATAATTTTGCAACTGCCTGCTTTTGTGTCTGTGTTTCCTATTAGATTTTAGATTCATAGAGATCTGGGAATGTACCTGTCACTCACTGTTATCCCTCAGATATGCCTAATCGTCCTTGGCATAATCTGTTTATCAAATGAATAAATGCATTTATGTAAATATATTTATCTTTAAAAAATTTTTTTTTTCTTAATTTATTTGAGAGAGCGAGAGCATGAGCAGGGTGAGGGGCAGAGGGAGAAGCAGAGGACTCCCTGCCAAGCAGGGAGCCCAGTGTGGGACTGGATCCTGGGACTCCAGGCTCATGACTTGAGCCAAAGGCAGATGCTTAACTGACTGAGCCACCCAGGCGCCCAATATTTACTTTTTTTTGTGGGTTTTAGTTTTAAATTGTTTGATTCATTAATTTATAATAAAAGGAAAACTAATTTACTTCCAGTCATGTGCCAGGTAGTTGGCTAAGACAAAGCCTTTCCCTGAAGGAGCTTATAGTTTCATGGAATGAAACAGATATAGTGCTTTGAAGACAATCAATTGGAGGAGTGTGCGAGAGAGTGAAAGTGGCAGCGGGGCTTGCTGCTTTACCAGAGTGGTCAGGGAAGATGTATGCAAATAGGTGACGTTTTAGCTGGAACCTTGAGGAAAAAAAAACAACCTTAGGAAAATCTGGGCAAAGTGCTTATTTTAGTCAGTAGGAAAAAAGTCTAATTAGCATGAACTGAGAGCATAAGGGAATTTAGGATAAGATGGTTTTTATAGAAATTAACTAGCTCAACATGAAGAAAGACTGTTTTCATGGTCTGATTGTATACCCTGTGCTAGTCAATTGTATGGGAAATAAATGCTTTGGTCATAGAAGGGCACTTGGTGAAAAAAATGAGTGGATGACTTATTTCAGATTTTAACACTGGAGAGACGATTCAGGTTTGTGGTCTCTGGTACTATTATTTTTTGATCACATGCAGTGAAAACTTGGAAAATTTTTAATAAAACCCAATTAGTTTAAAAACTGAGGAACTATTATGTATGTCTCTGAATATAGAAAGTATTTACTTTGTAGGTAGAATTTTTAGAATTTTTTGGAAGAGTAGACATTCTAAGCTCCTTTAATTTTGAGGGAGAGTTTAGTTTGGAGAGAATTCAGATGCTTCCTTGTTAATAACTAAGAATATAAAACTTGTGAAAAATTTATCTCTTGTGTTTTTATTTTAGATTTTGAAGATGATGATCTCTATGGCCAGTCTGTAGAGGATGATTATTGTATTTCGCCATCAACAGGTGACTTTTAAAAAATAATTTGATTTCCATTATTTGGGTGTTAAAAAATGTTAAGTAAGTATTATTGTCATTCTAGGATTAGAGTGTTCCCCATAAGACTATAATATTATGTAACATTTAAAAATATGATGTGTCTTTAACTTTTAAAGGTGTATAAAATCATTTCTTTACCCATGAATAGAATCTAAGTTTTAAACATTTGAAGAAAACTTTGAAAACTATGTTTTTTCCAATATTTTTGTAACTTGCAATTAATCTGAATTGTACTGAAATGGTAATTTAGTCAGTAATAAAAATCTAGAACTTCGGAAGGCCGGTAACAGTTAATTTTATATACTCAGGAATCTCTTAAATCTTAGAAGCATTGAGGTGTTACGCATAAACTTCCCTTCATACAGTACTTCAGTTTATGTACCATTAAACAGTTTGTTAAATAAACCAAATATATATAGGTCAGTCCTCCCGGAGCCAGAGTGATTTAGAGTTCACATTCCTGAAGGACTCCACATCAGAGCTGCATCTCCTGTCTTACCCACTGAAAGAGTTCTTCTTTGCCACCATATAAAGAAAACATGAAACATTCATATGTTCTGATTTTCAGTAAAGACATAGTCTTCGACCAGACCTTTTCTCCTAATTTCCCTAACAATATATTTGTCTTCAAATTTCAGCCTACTCTATAACTAGTTGGTTAAAATGCCCTGCTGAATTTTACTATGCCACAAAAGGGTAAAATTAAATACAGTTAGGTACAACATAAATGTAATTCACAAAACTCATTTTCTACGAGTAAAGGCTTAATACAATTAATGTTTGTATCAAAATCCACTTTGTCTTTAATACCATATAGTCTACGGAGCTGTCCTGTACCCCTATGCCTACTTTAATCACACTTTTAGTCTCTGAAGACCAAATTTGTGCCTTCTGACTTTTTAGAATTCCTTTTTCTTTATAAAGCATAGATGTTCCACAAGGTGTCTTAGCACCTCTCCTCTTTCTGCCATCTCTTATCCTGTTGCTTGTTCCTCTGAAGTGCATCTAGCTCTTTATTTGTACTTTTCTCATTTAGCCTTACTAATCAAGGCCTTTCCTCTCTTGGTCTAGTGTTACACTGTTACCAGTCAGGATCCTGTTAGGAGATAGAAATTGCACCAGTTATTTTGTCAGAGAGAATTTAATACAAGAAATTGTTAACAGGTTTTAAAGAACAAAAAAATGCAAGAAAGGCAAGCAAAATATTAAGGAGGTGGTGACTTCAGGAAGCATTTACCTAGTTCTAGAGGAGCAAATGGGTGAGGTCAAGCCCAACCTTTTAGAAGCTTGTAGAGGTCCTTCTTGGAGTTGGGGCTTAGACCTGTGAGAAGAGGGTTCTGCTTTGCCTCTGAAATTCAGAGGAAGGACTATGGAATGGGGACTCAGCCCTCCGAGGAGGGGAACACTGCATGGCTAGTACTGGTGTCGGCAAAAGGACCCTGTGGAGCTGGGATTCAGCCTTTTGAAGAGGGAATTTTCTGGTCATGGTGTCTGAGGGATGTGGGTGGGGACACCTGGAAGCTGGTTCTGGGAGTTTTGGGCCAACTGCTCACTGGTACTAATTACTGTTACTGCAGTGTGCAGTGTTGCTGGGGCAGAGGGGGCTGCACGAGAAGCAAAAAGGAAAGGAGCGTGTGTTTTCCTCCACTGGCCTTCAGTCTCCCTTTAGCATCTCCTCTGTTGGCTGATCCTAAAAGGGAGTCAGCTGTCGAAGAAATGAACTTCCTAGAGACTGCAACCCCAGCATCACAAAGCAGAATAAAGAAGGCTGGGTTTGAAGCTGAGAGATGGCTTCATCAGCATTCCTTTAGAGCTCCCTATGCAGGGGTACAAGGCCACATTTTGTAGGGATGAGGAATAAAAGAAATTTCATTTTGTCCATGGAACCTCCCAGACACTTGCCATTTGCAGTGTTAAAAAAACTTAATGGATTAACCCTTGTGGGCTCCTGTAATGATACTGTCACAGTTGACGAGGTGAGACAGTGATAGCTGGTAGCATTAACTTCATCACTCATATTGTAAGTGGAATAGAGAGCATGTCATGCTCACGAAATGAGAAGATGATGTGGGTGTGATACTTAGATTGGAATTTTTAAAAAATCCCTTCTACATAGTAGAGACTGGATTGAAGGTGGTACATGAGTGGATATTTATAGATTAGTTTGGAGGTTATTATACTAATCTAGAGATGGGGATATTTGATGACAGTGTTCTCAAAATGTGGTCCATGTGCCATTAACATCACTTGAGAATTTATTAGAAGAGTCATTCTTGGCCCCGTTCCAGTCAGAAACTCAAGAGTGGTGCACAGCTACTGTTTTAACAAGCCCTCCATGGTATGTTGATGCTTGCTTTGAGAATCATTTGTTTAGGACAAGGGTGGTAGCATTAGATTTGGAGGTAGATTCAAGAGATAATTATAGGAGTTAAGGTCTACAGGATTTAGAAGTTGCACAAGGGTGGGAACCTTTACAGAGGGAGGAACTACTGAAAGACAATCTTGCAGGTTAACACATTGATTTATCTAGGCTTATCTGGATAAATCATGCTTAATTTTGTGTTGGGAACTGATGGTACACCTACACCAGGTCAGACATTCTGAGCGTGTTTTTCTGAGATTTGCACTCATGGTCTGGCTTTCTTGAGGTCAGTTTATTCTTGTGTCTCTCATAGCTCTTCATGTGTGTCGTGTGTGGTTCATATTTAGGAAAGTTTTGCTCTTTGAGTTACTTTTGTACACTCCGGGAAGTCGATGACATTATTATTATTATTTTTTTAAAGATTTTATTTATTTGACAGAGAGAGAGACACAGCGAGAGAGGGAACACAAGCAGGGGGAGCGGGAGAAGGAGAAGCAGGCTTCCCGCGGAGCAGGGAGCCCGATGTGGGGCTCGATCCCAGGACCGTGGGATCGTGACCTGAGCCGAAGGCAGACGCTCAATGACTGAGCCACCCAGGCACCCCATCAATGACATTACTGAAGCAGGAGATACAGTTAAATGGTTTTGAGTTTTTTCTGTGACAAACTGTATTTTTAACAAAAAACGTCGTTTTGGATTTTGTAATTTTTCAAAACATAGTGATATTAGATCAGAAACTTTTCCTCTTTAGTAGTATATTTTCCAAGTGATTTTCAGTAAAAAAATGAATAGTTTTAGAAGGATCCTCTGTTTTTAAACAGCCAGTGTCATTGAAGAGATGATCATATTCATGGTCTTAATGAATTCTGATAATTGAGTGATTTTATCAGTTATTGGAATTTTAAAAAAATTAATTAGCACTTGTATTTTTTTGAACTCTACTAAACACAGTTTCCGTGATGGAAAGGTGATTTCTAAATGTTACAGCTTTTTTTCCTTTGGAAAGATTGACTTTTGATATTGAATATTGAACATATGGCAAGGAATTGGGGATGGCAAAAATAACCTAGATATATAACTTTATTTGAACAGTTATGGGTTTTGTTTTGCCTACTGAAATTAGAAGTGTTAAAAGATAAACTGAAGCATATTGAAATTTTTAAGAATTTATTTGAGCAAACATCAATTTGAATCAGGTAGCTCCAAACTGGAAGTGGTTAGGTGTGCTCTACTGGAACAGAGCTAGGGGCAAGGTTTTTATAGGGAAAATGGAAACAAAGCAAAGAAATTGTTTGATTGGCTGTAGCTTAAGGGTTGCATTATTTGGGAAAGCCTGGTTGGCTTTTGTGATTGGTTGTTCCTGAGGCATTTACAGTAATTGACTCTGGCTTCGTGTTCCATTTGTCATCAAGGCACTGGAGCCACCTCAGTCAAAAGGCCTCCAGTGGTTACTTAAACAGTAGTGATCCTTATTTAGTCCATTCCAACTCAAAATCTTTATTGAGCCATCAGTTAACGTCTAAGAAAAACCCTATTCTAGATAGGTAGCATGTTAAAAGTCCTCTTAAACATGCCACAGTGGTTTGTGGGTGAATCTGGTGGGTGAAGCCATAGTCCCGCATGAAGGAGTCTGGGAAGGCTTCTGGAAGGAGGGGAGATTGGACTGGTAAATTTGGGAGGAGGAATGGCTTTCTTCAGAGGAAGAAAATAGTGCTTGAGCAGTGGCCTCTATGTGAGGCTTACTTGAGAACACTCACATGATTAATGTAGTTGCAGCAGGAGAGAGGACTGGGAAAGGAAGTAGGAGGCAAGCTGTGGAAGGCAGTTTTTAATTGTAGGTGTGTCATGTCAGCTTATTGAAGGGTTTTGAGTGAGGGGGCTGTATTTTCTGAAGGGAATTGATGATTGTGCAGAGTGGACTACGGGGGGACTTGTCGGCCAGTGTTTCCTAATCTTCACTGATGATATCAGTCAGCTGGGAGACATTTTAAAAATACAGATTCCCTGCCCCATTTCCAGCATCACTGAATCAGAATCTCCAGAGCAAGAAGCCCCAGACAGCTGTGTCATTAATGAGTGCCTCTTACATGATTTTTATTTTAAGGTGTTAAGGAAACAATTTGGAGCAGTTGTAGGGGTCAGGTTTTAAATTCTTTGAACTTTAATTTGTTAAACTGCCTTAAGTTTTAAAAGTCACCATGGGTGTCCCAGTTTTTCAAAAAGCATTCCCATCAAAATTTGTGATTTAAATTTAGAAATGAAGAGCATTTTATATTTATCCTTTCCTCTCCATTGCTTTTTTTCTTACTCTTTTATTGTTTTTCTTGCCTTTTGGGCTTTCATTTCAACTTCAAAGATTTGGACTGTTTTTCCCCACTAGTAGTTATTTTCCCTGGGGAATTAGTCTACCCTCCTTCCCTCCCCACTTGCCAGCAAATCTAGCCAACACTGCTTCCAAAACAGTGGCCAAAGTATAGGTTTCTGAGTTGGATTTGTGTGTGGATCGGGGGTAAGGAACCCTCCACCCCACCCTGGAAAAAAAATAGCTCCTCTGAGGTAGAGTTGTAGCCTGGATGTTGACAACTTTTTTTTCCTGTCCAAATTTCCTAGTTGAAAATTGTTGAGGGAAATAATCTGATTTTTTCCTCACTTAATTTTTGATTATTCTTGGGGTTTTTCTCATAGGTGAAAGCTGTCAGAGGAAGTTGGGGAAAGTATATTTGTTACTTTTAGGTTATAGCTAGGAAAATAATTTGTAAATCACCAGGCACAAAGTGACCCAGTTTACTTTTTTTAGTACTACCACATTTTATTAAATCTAAGATGCCACAGAATGTAAGGCATATTGTAACTTTATGTACCACTTAAAGTAAATCTCCTGTCAAAGTATTACACAATGTTGAGATGCCATTTGATTGTAAGACACATCCTCATTCTGAGATTTTAACATGAAAATAGTGGTCATCTTAGAGAGTCTCTTCTGTTTAGCCATGCTGAATTTATAATAGTGTTCTATTCTCCTTGTACTAGAGGGGGCTAAATAGGGAGAAATATATACAGCATAATATGTGTATTCTTGAAAAACCTTATGGTCTTCAAAACTGTATACTGAAAATAACAACATCTGGGAAAAAATAGGATCATGACATCAGTCAGCCTGTAAAGTACTAGCAAAAACAGTAATCTTAATAAAAATGCTTGCACATTTGAAAAGATACCTTAACTTCCTGATAAAGAAATATTCCAGTAAATATAGGAGATTAAAAAAAGTTTAAAAAAAGGTAAAAAGCTTAATAGAAATGTGAGAAAGAGTTGAACTAATGACTAACGTTGCAAAGGCAAATGATCACAGATCTTGGAGAGCCAAGCAGTAAGCATGCACAAAGCAAGACACAAGTCCTCCAAACTGAGCCAAGAGGAAGGCTGTGGGTCTCTCTGGCATTGCAGTACCATTATAGTTACAGTGGTGGGTGTTACTTTGTACCTGCTGCTATCAGGTGATGATACTGAACATTGAAGTGTTGGGGGAAAAGAAATCTCATAAACCAAAGCACTTGAATGTTACACCCTCATCATTCTCCTCTTTACCATTTGGTGTGAATAGGTTTTGTCGAGGTAGCGTGCCTTATAGCAGAATAGATGGAATTCCCTCAGCTGTTCTGTAGCTCTCTTATTTGTTCTCCTTGTCCAAGATGTCTTCTACCTCTTCCTCAGTTTTTCTGATGCTCTTACCTCATTTTTTAGAACGGTGTCAATCTTCAGTGATTACTTAAATCTTCCGTGCTCCTGTGGCACTTGTTATCTATACTACTTTTTTGGCTTTTATTTAATTAATTAATTAATTAATTAATTAATTAATTTAAAGATTTTATTTATTTGACAGAGAGAGACACAGCGAGAGAGCGAACACGAGCAAGGGGAGTGGGAGAGGGCGAAGCAGGCTTCCCGCTGAGCAGGGACCCCCGATGTGGGGAAGTGACCTGAGCCAAAGGCAGACGCTTAATGATTGAGCCACCCAGGCACCCCCTTTTGGCTTTTAAAATACATCATTACGTTTTCCTTCTTTGCCTTTCCTACTCCTCCGTAAGGCCATTGTTGGTTTGTTCTCTGTATAGAAAGCCCTTATGCTACAGCCTTCTGTGTAAGCCATAGTATTATCTAATGTTTATTTGTATATTATTTATATGTAGTAGCCGTAAACTTTGGATGTAGTTTCCCTTTCTTTCACAGATAGTGCCTTCTTGAAAACATGAACAAAAGTTAAACGTAGGAACACTAAGCAGTAGACTTGAGTGTTAATGTGCTCTTCCAGAAAGCTCAATAATATAAAATCCCTAGTAACACCTTGCCTGTAGAATACTGTATTAAAATTTCTGTCTTTCTTATTCTTTAATTTTATTTCTTCACAATTGAGCACAGTCTCTAGGAACTGAGTTCAGTGGGCACCCAGCTGATGTGGAAGAGTCAGCACTTTGGGCGTGTGTGATGATTTTCTCCTTTGCTCACTTGTATTTTATTTATGATACTCAGGCATATATTTTCTTTCCTCTTTTTAATGAAATCTACAATACCAGCTATATATTGAGTGATGACACGGCTATAGAATGGCACAGCCTGAAAGTCAGTTAGGTATGTGACACCAGCATATAGTGTAGAGAGTGTTTGACTGAAAGTAGGAGTTGTTCAAAAGTTAAGGCCTATGATTTTGGTCAACTGTTGGGTTCAGGCAAAATTAGCAACTTTCGGAAAGTGAAAATTAACTTGTTTTTAGTACTTTCTTAATTAATGCAAATAAGCAAGTTTGGTATGTGGTTTGAAATATTTGTTCCAAAGAAGAGAACATTTTGCCTGGAAGATGGAGTAGTAGGCAGGGATGAGGTGTTAGGAAAGGTAGTATTTGGAAACTGTGGCGAAAGTCAGCTTGGTGGAGGTGTCGGAGATAGGAAGAAAGAAGGAGAATGATTGCAGGAGGCCAGTGAATAGTTACTAAGGACATCTGCGCAGGGTATGGTATGTTTTGTCTTCATTTGTTTTTGTTATTATCCATTATTGTAGAATGTGGGTAAATGGCCATAGGTGGTGGGTCAGAATCTTTAATTTCTATTTTAACTTTGGTGGAAAAAAAAAAAAGACTTACTGGGAAGTGGCTGTGCTACAGCATTCTTCCATCATTTTCTGTTCTAGCTGCTCAGTTTATTTACTCGCGGCGCGACAAACCTTCACTTGTTGAGCCTCTAGAAGAATACGATTACGAAGATCTGAGAGAGTCCTCCAATTCTCTTTTGAACCATCAGCTGAGTGGAATTGATCAAGGTATAGTAAAAAATAGTTTATCTGTGCTTCATGTGTGAAAATGATTGATGATCAATATACCAGAATTGATCAGGTTTATTGTGATTGATCCTAATAGTGACTCTGGGGAAGAAGGGTACAAATGTCCCTTGTATCTTCAAGGGAAATTTACATTTTATTAAGTATATTTTGCGAGGAGTGTATGGTTAACTCTGTGGTTGAAAAATTGGTTGTGTGACTCTTATTTAATAACTGGAATTTTTGACTGAGATCTTCATTTCCTTAGGAGAGAAACTTCAGTAATTTGTTTACTTTTAGCAATATTTATTGTTTATTGTTTCATGAGCTCTAATAGGGAAAGATAGGTATATTGTGGATAAAAATATAATCATTACAAATAATTTTTGCCAGGGGAAGAGGAGAGTTGGACATCTAATATAGTTTCAGATCCTTTTTTTGTTTTGTTTTGAAGATTGAGGGTTCTTTCATGGCATCATTTAAGACTTTTAATTATTTTCTGTTCTAGCTCGTCTTCATTCATGCCTTGATCACATGAGAGAGGTACTTGGAGATGCTGTGCCAGATGACACTTTGATTGAAGCAGTTCTGAAGAACAAGTTTGATGTGCAGAAGGCTTTGGCAGTGATTCTGGAACAAGATAAAATGCAGAATTGGAAGGTCAAGAGTGAGGGAGCAATATCTACAGGGAAGATAGCAAAAGGTATGCCTTTACTTGTTCTCTTTTAGTTGTTTTACAGTTAATGCTTTAAAAGAGGCTTTGATTTGCTTTAGCTGTTTAGAAAAATGGGCAGAAAATTGTGCATGTTACAGTAATCCTGATGATCATCAGTTGATTTTCCCATTTGTGAATTTTTAAGCTGAGTGCTTTGTTTTCTTCCCTCTGTTAAAGCTTGTTTTTTTTATTATTTCCCTGCTTCTTTTTTAACTATCAAGATATAGGGGAAATAAAATCAGATAAAAACAAGACAAGACACTTGTTGCTTCTTGTCAGTAGCTTAGAAAGTTTTCTGATTGTTGTTTTTTTAACTCTGATGGCTCAGGAGATGGAAATTAATAGCCAGACAATTAATTACAAAAATAACCTTTATGTTTATAGCATTTGTAAATGTATTAGTTTTATTTAAATATTATAAGTATCATAATTATACTGTTCTTGCATTGCAAAGCCAGATCTTTAATTTTAAATTTATAGAATTTGGGGTTATTTTTCAAATTTAATTGGCATAAGAAGGGAATTGAAGTATCTTTATAATAATTGGTATGCTATCTGCCAGTAGGAGCATGGTTATTTATTAACTGGGTTGATATTTCCTGTATCCTGAGGCCTAGGTTTTTACCATAACAAAGTTGTATGCAGTCTGTTACCATGAAATAAGGGTGGTTTTTTATTTTCTATTTAAATTTTAAAAGAATTTTGATGGGGAGGCATTTGTAATGAATCTATATGAAATGACCATATGAAAATGAAATCTATAATATTTTATCTTTATTAATAGTTTTTTTCCAGAAATTACAGAATGTTATTTGTTTGCTTGTTTTTAATACATTAAAAATATAGGAGAAGATGAACCTAGTTCCTTTCATTGGCCTTTTAGACATTTTGAATTTGACAATTCTGACGATACTTTAAATATATTACATCCTCACATTATAAAATTTGTGAAAATTAGAATACTGACTAACTTGGTACTTATATTTGTATATATCAGTGAACAAAGTAAGAAGGTCACTTTAGATGGTTAAAGGAAGGTAAAATTCCTTTATTATTGTTTTTATAGAGTGTTCACTTTTTATTAAATAATCAAATCTTTGATCACTTTATTCATGTTATAATCAAAAGAAACATTTAGTAATTAAATGCCTCATTTCATGTTTCCTTTTGGTTGCTGTGACTGTCTTCTGCATATGTCAACCTATTCATCTGAAAATTAATGGCTTTTGTAAGGTAAGGAGTCTTATTATCTTCCTCTGAAGTTTCAGCTGATAATGTTCAAAGCTCTTGTCCTCAATCCACAAACCACTTGGATCGTAGTAGCAAATCCTTTGATTTTTCTGGCCCAGTAGCAAAATCTGGATTATATCCTAATTCCTCAGTTGTACCAAGTCACTATTTACTCCATAAAAAAGAGAAACCTGACAGACCTAAAAGTGAAAAGAAACTAGAATCATGTAAGTTAACAAAAGAGCTGTCACTAGCTGACCTAATTGATGATATGCCAAGAGATTCTTGTACAAGTCAGCCATCAGTCAGATTATCAACCACAGATAGTCTGGAAAGTCTATTTTCAAAGAATCTAGGTGCTGATATGTTAAGAACTCATGAATCTGAATGTGTTTCCAAAGATGATTCTTCATTCAAAGAAATACCAGATTTAAAATCCTTAATGATAAAGAACATAACACCTAATAACTCTTCATGTACTCAAAATAATTCACTACCTGATTTGCAAAACATTCCAGTAGAAAACAGCATAGGAAATTTAAATGATCCTTCGCTCTTAACTAGCTCATTGGAAAATACGGCTCATGATAATTTAAATGCTAGTAAAATGACTGACGTTGGAAGTGTTTCTTCAGTTGAACAGAGTGCCAAGAATTACATTTTAAAAAATGACACTTTGCAGTTTTCTCAGTGTGAAAGTCCATCCCTAGCTGAACTATTGCAGGAGCACAAAGAAAACAATCCGAACCAGTGCTTTACTTTATCTGATCTTTGTAACCAGTCATCTTCCAGTTTCACAGATTTAAGTTTGGGATCCTTTCCCTTGTCACAGCTAGCAAATCGGTATCCATCTTCGACTGGAATATCAGAATTAACAGGATCTCTGTCATCTTTGGTATTTTGTAAAGCTTCTCCTACAAGAGACCTTGAGAATTTGTCACTTTCTGATTTGATTGCAGAAACAATTGATATAGACAACTCTCAGATTAAGAAGGATTCTTTTAAGCTCAGTATATCTGAAATGAGGTCACCTGGAATAGATTCAAATATTGATCTTAGTGTCCTTATAAAAACCCCTGATTTTGTTCCAAAACATGCAGTAGACCAATCAGTTGCTCCAACATCAGAAACAAAAGTTTTAAGTTCAAGGTTAGGGAAAAGCTTCAATTCTGCTAAGGATAGTAAGAAAACCAATAAAGGCTCTTTGACTAGGAAACCACCTTTTTCTCTCTCTTGGACCAAGGCCCTTGCTGCTAGACCTTCAGCTTTTGCTTCAACACTGTGTCTTCGTTACCCACTGAAAAGCTGCAAGCGACGCACCCTTGACCTGTATAAGACTTTTCTTTATAGTAGACAAGTTCAAGACATAAAGGACAAAGAAATAAGTCCTCTTATAGCAATAACACCATTTGACTTCAAATCAGCATCTCCTGATGACATTGTAAAAGCTAATCAAAAGAAAGCTTTCACTAGAGAATAGTAACAAAAGGAAAACTTGATAACTGTTGTAGAGCTTTTGTTTTAAATTAATTTAAAGTCTTTATAGAATTACCTTATATTATGGGATTCAAGTTGTGATTTTTATATTAAAATTGTCTTAAGTCAGTTGATAGCTTTAGTTGATAATGATTTTTGCACTGAAAAAAATTTTTTTTTTTTTTTTTTTTTTTTTACTATATCTTCTTTTAGTGATAACTGGCTTTATTTAAGTTGATAGCCTAAAATGGGTGTATGTTTACAAAGTGTATTTGGAAACTTGATATTGTGAAATCAAACCTCTCAGATATTTTTGTTTGAAGCATTCAACTTTATAAGTTTTTACAATGAGACATTTTCTTTTATAAAGTATTTTTGTGCTTCGTTCTTAAATGAAAATGCCACTTGGGATTACTAAAGTTTAGTGATAAAAGATTTTTCTTATGATACGTGGCATAGCATAGGTGAGATGTAATTATATTTTAAAATATTAGTGATATCATTCCCATTCATTATTTTTCTGTAGGTGAATATTTAAAATTTTTCTATTAAAAAATTTTAAAATTCCTGACTTTTAAGAATACTGTGGAGGTTGTTGAAATACATTTTTTGATGATAATAAAATGAAAATCCTTTAAGGGACCATGTATATACTGAAGTTGGATTAATACATAAGTTATTTTTATACATTTTCAAAACCATTTGTCCTAAATGCACACTTTAAAATAAATACATAGAAAGGGTTTTCAAGTATGGTTGCATGTTGTTTGAACAGATAGTTTTATCAGATCTCTTACCCCCCCCCTTTTTTTTTTTTTACTGTAAATAATGAAATGTCGAGTTTTCCTCTTTGATACTGACAGCTGTGTATACTCCACTGACAAAGTTTCAGCAGTGGTAGACCAAATAAGAGCTCTTCTAATTGCTAGAACAAGTATGTAATTCATACTTTAAAGCAGTGGTCCTTAGCTAACAATCAGAATCGCTGGGGGAATTTTTTCAAAACACAGATCCTGTGGCTTCACTCTAGACATGGTCAGTCTCTGAGGGATGGCATTTGGGAATGTGTATTTTCAAAATAGTCCCTAGGTGATTTTGATGTGTTACTTTTACTTGAGAACCACTGCCTTAGGGGAAGAAATCAGTAGTATGAGAGGAATTACTAATGCTAAGAATAATATCTGACCAATGTGAATTTACACTTCATTGTTTCTAGTAATCAGGAATACCAAGGAAAATTATGAATTAGGAATTATAGTCTTTTACGTAAGAGTTTGCTGATAGTGTATTATTAATATTTCTTGCAGGAAAAAATAGTGTCTAAAATGTTATTTCTTAATGAAAATGAAATAGCTGGACTTTTCCCAGTAAAGAAGTATTTTTCTCTGGCAGCTACTTCACTATGCTTTTGATAATTTTTTTTTTTTTTGTATTTCTTGTTTCAGTTTATTTTCAGAATAACATTCCAATATTTTTAGCTGTGTATAATGTTTTTATATCCAGTGTTTTGGTGGGAAGACTTAAGCCAGAATTATGTCTTCATTGTTCTTGACCACTTTTTCATGATGTCTTCAGGTTTTGTTTTTAATTGCATATTTCAGTGCACATCATGCTGATGTTTAGGAGATCATATAAATCACATTATGTTTTATGGCCGATTTTAAAGTTTGGATTATCCCAACTGCTGATTTTGTTTTCCTCCTCTTAAACCTTGATGAAACATTTTAGTAATTTTACAAAATTAGTATATGACTCATCAACTAGATTTATATATGGGTAGTCTCCCACTTAGAATTGAGTTGTATTCTATGAGTCTGTTTGGAACTGACAATAATTCCAGATAGATTAAGTGTTATGCATGTGGTCCACTTTGCACATGAATCCACAAATAATACTTACTTAACCCACACTGAAATTGAACAGTGGTACTATTATTTTACCTTCTTTTACAACAGATTTTCAAGCGGAAATACAATACTTTTAAGCCATATAGAAGATCTTGTAGAGTGAACTAGGTCTCCTTTTATTGACTGATTAGGATTGTAACTATCACTTACTTATAAGATTATTTAGGGGGAAAAACTATGTTGCAGAATGATAGGGAAGGCAACAGTTTTTAAATAGGTCTCCCTCTTTCCCTTGTCATGGCTACTGGTCCATCAGGCACATGCATGATATGGCCTTGTTGACTAAGGAAGTGTCACAGTCTCTGAGATTCAGAGAGTGGAACCAGGAAGACCCCTTGCCCCTTCCACCCTTGGCTTTTGGCCATTGATAAAGAG